TTGAACCTAAACCTAAACTTGGACCTAAATTTGAACTTGAACATGAAGAATTTAATTTGCTCCATTTGCTCCGAATTGAACTTGATTCTGATCCTGAAACTGAACCTGAACTTGAAAAATATGAAGGATATGAAGAATATTCTTTATTTGAAAAGGAAGCTTATCTATTACCAAGGGTCCTGTCACGTGGGTTAAATAAGAAACTTGTGGGTTAAATATAAGGAAAGCCACTCCACATATTATCAATTGGTTTTAGGTTGGATGCAAGCCTTCTGTTGAGTCCACATGCACAATTTTTACATTGTATCAAAGGCCATATTCTGTCCTAGGAAGCCCGTTGTTAGTGCACCTAGCAGGACCCAAAGTTGAAGATATCGGGCTTCCATTTAAAGGGGTATGTTAACCCACATGACAGGACCTGACATTCATAGCGGGTTTACACGTGAGGGGGCATGTTAAGTCGAAAGATCCTACATGGAATATAAAAATAAAAAGTTTGTGGGTTAAATACAAAGAAAGCCACTTCATTTATTGCCAATTGGTTTTAGATTGGATGCAAGCCTTGTGTTGAGCCCGCATGCACAATTTTCACAGAGCATCACTGGTTTGTTTCTAATCCTACTGGTCATAATCTGACCCTCCACCGACCTTGGGTTGTTCGGTTTTCTTATTGGAGTAATTGGATCAGTTGCTTACAATCTCTTCAGACTCAAATTTCAAACTTGAATAGTTGTGGCCATTTGTTTTCTGTTATTGGGTTTTAGGTTCTAGCTAGACAAGAATTGGTTGTGGTTGGAGTCACTACCCATTACCATAGGAAGAAACCAAATTTCCAAGTCACAGATTATTGAGGACTTAACGGTGGTAGGTTTCCACCTCTTTTGGGTTTACAATTTATTTAGAACCAATTGTCGAGAAAAAAATGGATCGCCCAAATCCATATCTTGCACCTCAAGTTCTGTAATGGGAACGCTAGCATGGGTGCTCATTTTTAATTTATGGTTTTGCCATGTGCTTATTTCTTGTGTATATTCTTTGTTCCAAGCTGAATCTAAACCTGAACCTAAACTTGAACGTGAAGAATTTAATTTGCTCCATTTGCTCTAAACTGAACCTAATTCTAATCCTAAAATTGAACTTGAACTTGAAGAATATGAAGGATATGAAGAATATTTTTTCTTCAAAAAGGAAGCTTACCTATTAACATGGGTCCTGTCACACGGGTTAAATAAGAAACTTGTGGGTTAAATACAAAAAATGCCACTCCACCTATTGCCAATTGGTTTTAGGTTGGATGCAAGCCTTGTGTTGAGCCCACATACACAATTTTCACATGGTATCAAAGCCCAAATTCTGTCCTGGGAAGCTCGTTGTTAGCGCACCTGACAAGACTCGAAGTTGAAGATACCGAGCCTGCATTTAAGGAGGTGTGTTAACCCATGTGATAGGACTCGACATTCAGAGCGGGCTTGCATGTGAGGAGGCGTGTTAAGTGGAAAGATCCCACATCGAGTATAAAAATAAGAAGCTTGTGGGTTAAATATTAGGAAGGTCACTTCACCTATTGCCAATTGGTTTTAGGTTTGATGCAAACCTTGTGTTGAGCCCGCATGCACAATTTTCACAGAGCATCACTATTTTGTTTGTTTCTAATCCTACTGGTCATAATTCGACCCTCCACCGACTTTGGGTTGTTCGGGGTTCTAATTGGAGTAATTGGATCAATTGCTTACAATCTCTTTGGACTCAAATTTCAAACTTGGATAGTTGTGGCCATCTGTTTTCCGCTATTGGGTTTTAAGTTCTGGCTAGACAAGAATTGGTTATGGTTGGAGTCACTGCCCATTACCATAGGAAGAAACCAAGTTTCCAAGTCACAGATTACTGAGGAGTTAACAGTGGTGGGTTTCCACCTCATTGGCATTTACAATTTGTTTAGAGCCAATTGTTGAGAAAAAAAGGGCCGCCCAAATCCATATCTTGCACCTCAAGTTCTGTAATGGGAATGCTAGCATGGGTGCTCATTTTTAATTTGTGGTTCAGTCGTGCGCTTATTTCTTGTGTATACTCTTTGTTCCAAATTGAACCTGAACCTGAACTTGAACTTAAACGTGAAGAATTTAATTTGCTCCATTTGCTATGAACTGAACTTGATTCTAATCCTGAAACTGAACCTGAACTTGAAGAATATGAAGGATATGAAGAATATTCTTTCTTTGAAAAGGAAGATCAGGAAGATGGCCTAGTGCACGTCTGAGAGAGATGCCATGTTTAACCAAAAAAACCATGCCTACCATGTGCCTATACTTATATATTGCACTCTAACATCTTATTTCTTTTCGTTATGGGATCTTATGCACAACTCTCAATTCCATGTGAACTTATATTCCAACACTATCCTCATACAAGGCTGCGGATTGGGAAGCTGTTCATAGCACAGAAAGCACTGATGTCCTTTGAATTGGATTTGAGTTCCCCCGTTGAATCTGGTTGGCATTCTTGAAAAGGATGGGCTGCCTGCACCACCTTCTATGTATTTTGTTTCCGAATTGGTTGCTGTATTTGGTTTTCACCTTTCACATATGCATCTTCTGTTTCTGGACCAAAAAATGAAAAAAAAAAAAAAAAAAAAAAAAAAAAAGATTGGCATCTTCACAAACCAAGATCCCAATGCCTGCCCAAAATATGGTTAGAATAAAAAGACTAGCAGTAGGTGAATTACCTTAATTAATGCATTTTTTTTAAGCAAAATGAATTAATGGGTGTACAAAACTTTAATTAATGTTTGTGCAGGATTCAATTTGAATTATCACAAAAAATTTCAGAGGTGTATTTCATGTTTTACTTTAATTTTAATTTTGGTTAATGTGATCAATAATGTTGTCAATCACTAATTGGTCTTGTTATCACTAAAATGCAATAATTAAAAAAAGAAAAAAAATTCTTTTATCATAAATTTATTAGATTTTTCTTCATTATCAGGTGAAGACTCAATTTAAAATCGTATATAAAGTAAAAATGTATTAATGAAATTTTTTATAAATATATCAATAATTTTTATGATGTCTATAATACCAATTTCTTTGATATTATTAAAAAAAATTACTATAGTATGAGCTATGAAAAGGAAAAATATTCATAATAAGTTAATAATAGTTTTTTTAGTACACAAAATAAAAAAAAAATAAAAAAAAAGAGAGAAAGAAAGAAAGAAAGAATATGCATTTACAGAAGCTCAAAAATAGAAAAAACTTATAAAAATTTTATAAGTTGTAAGAAATTTTGCAACTATTAAAACTCTAGAAAATTGAAAGATAAATTTAAGTATAGAAAGAAGTCGCATTCTCCTCCTCGCTAAATAATCATCCCACATTGTGACTTCTAATTATTTCATCTCTTTTTGCCATCCATTCTCTAGTTTCTTTTCTCTCTTCATTTTTGTGTATGGGAAGCTCTTGACCTTGCATAATCATGGCTTTCATCTATTGCTTCTTGATTAATTGGGTCACCAGGATAATTTTTTTGAAGTGTTATACATTTGTTTGGTGAACAAAATATATACAAACTGAATATTAGTAATTAAAATTAGCTAATTTAAGTGGTCGAAAAGCGTTAAAAGAGAAATCATAAGGACACTTACGCAATTCACCTTAATTCTATGAATCAATAAGAGTAAAGTTGACAATTTAACTTCAGTTAAAATAATAAGAGTAAAGTTGATATTTTATAGGTTAAACCCCCATTTTGGTCCCTCAACTATTGTACGGACCCTCAACTTAGTCCCTCAACTCAAAAAATCCCTGATTTGGTCCCTACTGTTTA